ATGCGTGTGTTTGTGTGTGCCTGTATGTATGTGTGTGTGTGTGTGTGTGTGTGTGTGTGTGTGTGTGTAAGTGCTTTTTTGGGCGTGTGATTCATCATGCGCGCCCATTCTTATAATGTCTGAACCAGTAAATTCAGTCTTATGAACGAGATCAAGTGTGACTGGGACAGAAATATAGAAAAGAAAAGAAAAGAAAAGAAATAAAAGAAAAAAAGGGGGGAGATGGATTGAATGTACAAGGTAGGATAACAATAGAGTAGAGCAGGTGACACACATGACATCTTGACGTGTTTGGCTAGCATAATACATACGATTAGTGTGGCGGTTTGCGTTGGTTACTGGAGACCACAAAATGAATCCCGTGCTCATTCATAGACAGACAGACAGACAGACAGACACACAGACAGACAGACAGATAGACAGACAGACACACAGACAGACAGACAAACAGACAGACGGATGGACAGACAGAGAGAGAGAGAGAGAGAGAGACAGAGAGAGACAGAGAGAGACAGAGAGAGAGACAGATTTATGCAGGGTAGGAAATATGAATATCAGCGTTGAAGAGACTAATCTTCTTCCTCGCCATACAACTACCAGAAGTCTTCTAGATCAACGATCCCTCAAATCTTGCAAAGCAAAATACTGAAGGGAGTGTATTGATAGACAGGCATGAGCAGGAATAGTCTTGCAAAATTAGAGTTAAACTGTAAGCCAAAGATTACAAACCGCTTTGAAACAATTCACTTAATTTTTCTGGGAAACAGTTGTCAAACATAATAAAGAAGAAGACCGCCCCAGCTAATTTCTAGCACTGTCAAATATTATATCCAACGTTCCATCATCTGAAAAGCAAATTTGCCGAGCTCGGCTCTCAAAATTCGAGCATTCCCGCAAGAAACCAAAACCAAACTGTCTTGCACAAATGTAATAATGTGATATTATGGCATATGGGATTCTATTCTTTTTGGGAGGCAATCGATTATATCTTGTCTGTTAAAAGACGGTGCATCGGGAAGTAACGCAACAGATGGGGAGGCAATATCGTGGGAAGATGCTAGCGTAATATTACCGTGATGTAATAACGCAGAGGCAGAACTGTTTTTTAATGTTGTTGGATTGTTGTTTTTTCCCCCCATAGGACATAAATAAAAGTTCAGACGTGTAAAATCACCAGGGAGTGAGAAATGTTTCGGACATACTCGATCTCCATTTTCTTTGATCTTGTCCATCGATTGGTCTAGCTGGGGTTATGCATAGCCTCGAGTGAAAAGCCTCATCAATTATTTAAGGGTGGATATTGTAGTCCATAGAGAGGAGTCTTTTGTCTTTTCATCAACACTAGGGTGTAATAGAGGAATATCCAAATGCCTCAGGCACGCAAGGAACCGGGATAGGTCTGTTGGTGTCATGCCGGAGAACAGACAGATAATCCTGGGTCGAATCCCACTTCGGTGTTTTCCTGAACTTGGGTTAATGTGCTAGTTACACGATGTGTGTGTGTGTGTGTGTGTGTGTGTGTGTGTGTGTATGTGTGTGTGTGTGTGTGTGTGTGTATGTGTGTGTTTATGTGTGTGTGAGAGAGAGAGAGAAAGAGAAAAAAAGAGAGAGTGGACAGAGAGAGAGAGAGAGAGCGAAAGAGAGAGGGAGTGAGAGAGCGAAAGAGAGAGGGAGAGAGGGAGAGTGAGAGGGGGGAACTTTCAAGAGGTGCGAGTGCGAAAGAAAGACAAAGCTGAGAGAGAATGTGAGGAAGGAGATCTGATATATATATATATATAGAGAGAGAGAGAGAGAGAGAGAGAGAGAGAGAGAGAGAGAGAGAGAGAGACATACAGACAGAAGATGAGAGAGAGAGAGAGAGAGAGAGACATACAGACAGAAGATGAGAGAGAGAGAGAGAGAGAGAGAGAGAGAGAGAGAGAGAGAGAGAGAGAGAGAGAGAGAGAGAGAGAGAGAGAGAGAGAGAGAGAGAGAGTTATGGCAGTGGAGACTGCCAGTAAGATACTTCAATTTCAATTTCAAGACATATTTTTTTACATTACATTTATTAAGCGATATTCACTTAAAGTAAAATCAATAAAAAGATTGGTTTCAAACCATCACGCCATCCAATTGTCAATGGCCAAGTTCCTCTCTTAGTATTACGATAAATTTCAGACAATCTATATTGTAATGTGCTTTTGTAAGCATACCTCACCTTTGGAAAAGCATAATAGAACACACACACACACACACACACACACACACACACACACACACACACACACACACACACACGCACGCACGCACGCACACACACACACACACACACACACACACACTCATACACTCACACATACACACAAACACACTCACACACACGCGCACTTTACTGTACATCTTAAACCCAGAAACATTATAAAACATTATCTTAATGTTCATTATTCGCATTACTGATATAATTTTTTTGGTTCTCTTTAGTATTATAATTTCTGATTTTGAAAATGTTGTACTAATTGTGTTTCTCTTCCCTCTCTCCCTTCCCCTTGTCAGATTGGACGAAGCCAAGAAATGGCGTTCCCAGGACAGAGAGACCATCAACAAGCTGAACCAACAGGTTTCCGAGCTGGAGGGAGAGATCCGCATGCTGAGGCGCACCAACGACTCCCTGGACACCGAGAGGGCACGTGACAAGGCCACCATTGCCCGTCTGCAAGAGGAGCTTGAGAAACTCAGGATTGTGAGTAGACTTTTATTAAAGAGCTGACTGTTCTATTCTAACTGAAATGGTTGAAAACTAAAAGGGGAGAACGTAAAGGCGTACGTTTTTTTCGAATTAGACCAGAATTGAAATTCTGTCTTTGAAGGCTTTAGATAATATACTTAGACTTCTTTAGTTTCCGCTTATGTTAATTTCACGATAAACAGCTATGGCCCACAAGTGCCAAATCCCAAGAAAAAGTGAACATTGGAAACCCATGCTCTCGGTTTTGTTAGGAGTGTGACTTATAGTCTTGCCAATACGTTTCTTCCAGTATGTTAAATAGACGCTATAGAAACCAAGTACTCTGTGTGGATGTGTAATAGGGGTAAAAAGATTGGTTAACCATGTTGTGATTTGCTCAAAGGATCAAATTGTAAAGCAAAGCCGTAAGGAACAAAAGAATTGATTTACTACGCAGTCGTTCACACACGGCATCTCGGCTTGTAAATTAATTGTAATAGATTACTATTTGAACTATGTCGATGAGTCACAAAATATTCTTTGCTACCCACCAGCTACGTTCCATACTATCGCAATTAAAAGTGTTCCCATAATCAAAAATACATTTAAAATCCATCACAATATGGTCCGAGGGTACAGATAACTAACATGTGGTTGTGTCTTCTGTCGGCAGGATCTGAGTAACGAGACCATTGGCCGTCTCGACGCTGAGAACAAGTACCAGACTCTTCTGGAGGAGATCGAATTCCTCAAGAGTGTCCACGAACAGGTGGGTGTTGGACATTCTATGTTGCCTCTTCATTGTGTGCTGATTTGTTTGTTTCGGTGTTTTTTTTAATCCCTTTTCTTTCCACCTCACATCTGATCTCATTTAAATGATGTTTTGTTGTTTGTGTAAAGAGAAACACATCGACACAATAATGGTAATTTGGTACTGGGGAAAAGTAAGACAGACAGACAGACAGACCGAAATAACAGAGGGGAAGTGAAGAAGTAGGTATACCACGACGCTGTCCCACCACCCGCTCATTTGAATGACTAAACTTCCTATGTAAATGACTTAATTTGCTTTTCCGAACTTAAACGCCCGAAACGTAGACATTTTTAAAGCGAGACACCATTGTAGTTTTGGATTTGGGGTTTCTTTGAGCTTTTTGTTAGCGAATGGCGCTGGACTAGGATGTCGATGATCCTAGTTCAATCACTTTGGCAGAAGCGTTTTTTAGAAGAACTTCCACCCTCTGGATTCACTCACTCCTATCGGAGTTGGACGTAACATTCGAAGCCTCCTAAATAACTCCATTGTAGGGTGTTTGTTTGAGGGGTGTTTTTCTATCACACGTGTGCATAAGTACATTCACGTTTTTAAAATACGTTTCGAAAGTTGTGGTTGTTTGTGTTTTGTTGCTTTTTGTGGGGGTTAATAATGTTGGTGGGTTTTTTTCTAAATACACAAGCACACACCACGTGCAAAACCGGACACACACACACATACAAGCACAGACAAAAAAGATAAACCCAAAACAGGTGTACTGTCATAAACAGACACACTCTGGCAGGGAGAACTCACAACCTAGCATAGACACAGTGACATAATTATCGCCTAGGCAGTGGCTCAAGTGTGGGACAAGCTCATTATTTTCCGTTACATAACGTGACTAGCCCGAGTGCTCAAGTATTCTTGTCCCGGCAAGGCTGTCCTTTTCTTGACCCGGCTGTTACAGTCATCTCTTCCCCTAATTTGTCGCACAGCGCCTGACTCCCCGCCGCTCCCTACTTCCTTAACTCTCTGTCTGTCTGTCTGTCTGTCTGTCTGTCTGTCTGTCTGTCTGTCTGTCTGTCT